CTTTTCACGTCAACAACAGCGTTAGTATTTCCTTGTAATCTCTCTAACTGACATTTTTTCTCAGTCATTCTTGTGCTGCTACCGCGTTAAATTTAATAAAGTTTGTCCACCGCGGATTTTACTCGGACGCAATTGTCGAGGAACCAACCCCCGCGGTGGACGAGGGTTTACTGTAATTAAAGTTGCATCAACCCGCTGGGCTACATCACAAATGAGACGTTGGCACTGTTTGTTGCTCCAGGTCACGACTGTATATTTGGGTTCCTCTTGGAACGCTCTTCGCCACTATTTGTTATGAGATGTCGAGACTGTGAGGCCTTCAGGAGTCGTCGTTATTGAAAGAATTGAGGATATAACCTCACATACTGACAGTCCGTCACAGACGCACGTGCAGAGAAGCCTGATTCGATTTGTTGTTCTTTGTTTGTGTCGTGCGTCGCGTGGAACCAACAAACATTTGGCCTGGATACTTTAAGGTTATGCTAAGCATTATGACGTACTACTAAAAGTAAAGTAAAGTTTGTCCCACTATACGCCATGTAGGCGTTTGGGGTGAGAGGAGGTATAGCTCCTCACGTCCTTGACCTCGGCACTAGATGGGGGTGAGTGGTCAGCATCACGCCCCGGCCGGCTTTACCCCCGGGAAAGGACCCCGGTACCCATTGTAGAGGAGGCTGGGTGGGCCCCAGCACCCTACGTCAGGGCCTATCGCCCTGATGACGGAGGCAGTATGACCTCTGAAACGTTGGTAAACATCGATCAGACTACACAGCGCAACAACCCAGAAGACAGAAATCTTCATACTCATCGCCCTGATGATGGAGGCAGTATGACCTCCGAAACGTTGGTTAACATCGACCAGACTGCACAGCGCAACAACCCAGAAGACAGAAACCTTCATACTCACCGCTGTGAAAACCTCAAATCGTACAGATCAGATGTCGACTTGCCCGTTCGGGAGTTCGAGCCTCGGCTATGGATATTATATGCATTTCTCGTGGTCATGTTCATGGCAATAACGTCCTCAGTTTGTGGGTTCCATAATGAGCTACACTCACAAATATAATTACTCCTCGGACGTGATTACCAGATTTACCACTGACACCCAGATGACAGCCATATTTGTATTCTCCGCCTTGAGAACTTCAGTTTCTACAAAATACATTAGGTTTATACTTGCTAGCATTTATTTCAGATAGGCGCATTCCACAGTCAGTGATGAATTATACGAGCAACGCATTCCACAGAATTCAAAACATTTCAGAAAGAAGAAATCACCACTAAAAGCAGAGAGTAATTTATTCGTTGTTGTAGAATTCTGTAATATACAACCCTCGTGTATGATATGGCTGAATAAACACTAAGCGAATGGGGATGGAGGATAAAATACGAGACGAAGAAGGCAGTGAATGCTGGCCGGGGCAAGGGTTAGTTTATGGGGTGTGTAGGATAAGATACGGTGCTTATGCAATAAAGTAAGTGTCTTGTCTGATGGCCACCCGCGAGATAAACGAAACAGAAATGTTATATAAACAAACGATAGGACCACCATTTAAATCTCGAACCACAATTCTGATGAAATCCTAAAACTGTCCTCATTACAAAACTGCATCATTCTTCAGAGACTGAACGGCCCACTGTTCAGATGTTATAGGGATGACGTCAGTGAATCGCATGAGTTACAACATGTAATGGCTGTATCGCAGTGAGTAGAGTGATCTCGACTTTGCTTCGTTTGCATTAGTAAATATATGTAGCTTAAATGAACTATAAGCATGGTAACTAAGAAATAGGTACAATTCCGATAACCTGCTAGAAACATGCCAGTTTGGATATATAGACGTAGATGGGAGGATAATATTAAAATGGATCTTAAATAGAATATTATGGTGCAAAGTGGATTAATTTGGCATGAAGTAGGAAGTAGCGGTGGACTCTTGTTAACACAGTAATGAACCTTTCTATCCCATAAAAGACCATAAATTTCCTGACTGGCTGAATGACAATTAATTTCTTACGAAGGAATTTTATCAATGGAGTTGGTTGGATTTGATAGTTACAGGGTTAAAAGCCAAGATAAAATAGCGTTAATAATGTCGAAATAAATCCCTTAATATAGGTCTACTTATGGTGAGGTCGACACAATCGATATTTGAAGATTTCTGTCTTCTGGGTTGTTGCGCTGTGTAGTATGTTAGATGTTTACCAACGTTTCAGAGGTCATACTGTCTCCATATTCAGTGATGAAAGCCTGTATACATGTATAACTTTTATATAGCGAACAGTTGAAGCACTGTTCTAATTAGGATTGTCCCGACGAACCGCGTTGTTGTTAGCATTTTTCAAATTTCTAATTGTAGGCCAACAACTTAGATTCTGTCACTATCCGGCCAGGAAGTAGACTAACGCGCTATCACATAAGTTATCTGTAAACCTATAAAGGATAGATTTAAATTGCCTTTCCTATTTCCAATTGCTAATTTTATAGTCAAAACAGAAAGCTAAATGACCATTACTTAGAATTTCATGTATAATTTTGGCCTTATCAGAATGATACTTGTTCACGACCAAGAGAAGCCAGCAGCGCACGTTACATCATCCCATGTGATGCAAAGTTAACATGTGTGTGGAGGAGAATTCCAAGAAAACACGTGTTCCATCAGGACGTCAATCGCAATATCTAACCTAACTAACCACACTTCCGTTAATTTGTATGTCATAAACACCTAAAACCTGGGACCAGATTCCATCTTGAGAAGCTAATAGTCGCTCAGATGGTCAAGAAATTCTCTCAGTCCTGAACCAGATTACACGTCCTCTGATTTAATTTCTTTAAAACCCGTTTAAATGTAAACAAATTATACTTAATACAAGTTAAAACTTAAGAGGTCGCTTAGTCTTTTAAAAACGGCGCAGAAAGTTATGCTTTAGTTATAATTTAAACAAGACGTAACAGGAGAAAAGTTCTAATTAATATTTAGACCTGTTGTTTATATTGTAACGGCTGGATAATTGCTGTAATCAAACTGAATAAACGTAGCAGACAATAACAACGAGAACTTTGTTGTATGCTCGTTAGGTGTAAATGAAGTTTGAAGTTTGTTGCTTTGAAGTCGGCCAAGTTTAATTGTTTTGTTAACAAAATTAGTATTATACAAACTGATTTTCTTAAAAATTGGATCTCCTCTAGGTTCTCGCTGTGAAAGTTCCAAAATATCTGTGTCATTCTTCCCTACAGTCGTGACTTTTCAAACTCTGTGAACTCAGCATTAGCGGCTTGAAATCATAGATCGTTTTTAACTATTCAATCCTACATCTGTCTCACTGTAACCCTTTAAGGAATTGTTGTAGTCCTTTTTATATGCCTTTGAGCAGTCCCATCGACACGCAGACGCAAACTTCCTTTTGTGTCACAATTAACTCCATCGAGAAAGTCCTTCTTGAGGGTCTAATAGTAGCTCAGATGGTCAAGGAATTCACCGCCTTTCATGGAACCTGAACTTTGATGTTTACCTGTAATGGTTCTGATGGACAATGGGCCTTTTAGCGGCACCCCATTCTAATACAAAACAAAGCAAAACTTAAAGATTTTCAGGAATTAATCTGCATAAACAATTAGGCCTGTATCATGAAGCCTTTCGTGTATTTCCTACAAATTTGTGAATAAGATTAATTCTACTTTAAATACTTTTTTAGGATTTAAACGTCAGAATGAAAAGTGAATCATAGAAGAAACGTTGAAAACATTTAGAAACCATTCGGTGTCTGTGAAATTATTTTAAATTTCTCACGGGAATAAATTAATATGGCGTTTCTTGTTAACCAAGATTCATCTGATTCGACCTCAAATGACGCATGACATTCAATAAAATGTTTATTGGAGGTTTTGATACCCTATCAAATTAATTAATTTTGTGTCAAAAAAGAAGGGAAATAAAATACATTATCATTATTAGCCTGAGGCTAACGGAATGTCACTTCCCTGAACCGCGGATTGTTCAACAGTTACTGAGCATGCATGATGCTGGTCTCAGCCCGGTCAGAGTATAAATAACCCTGTCATATCCAGATAATTTCGATGCCGAAACTCTTAGAAATACAGCTCTTGAGAATAAAATCCAAATTACGTATGTATTACTTTTTGTGTCATAACTAGAAATATATCAATGAACTAATTTCAGGAAATTGGTAAAAATAGTGAGACTTCGGGTTCTCACGGCGGCGAGTGTGGAGATGACAGAAATTGATCGACGTTTCAGAGGTGTATACTGACTCTACCATCGGACAGTACGCACTTCTAAAACGTTGGTCAACTTTAACGAAACTACACTGTAGTCATCTTCCTGGGTAAAAATCATTTTTAAGTTTTATGAAATAGAATTACAAGTAAATGTATTGTTAACTGAACTATCCATCTGGAATATGCAACCGCAGTGTCGTTAGCACTCCTGTTTTATATTCGGGAGGTAATGAGTTCAATTCTCGTTCCGGAGACCGACTATCCTCATTGAGATTTTCCCTCGTTCTCCCTGGTAAATTTCGAGATAACAATTGAATTATGCCACGTCCGCTTCCACGCATATCTTTTAAAATTCATTATTTATTTATCATCTTATAGTTTTGACACTACGGTCTCTTGATTTACTAACCTAAATGAATCACTAATAAGTAGGCTTAATATGAAGTAGGTTAGCTTACTATGCGCGGCTTGTAAACTTTGTAATACTCACTGGACACGCTTATAACTGACAATGAGATGCGTAAAAACAGTGTCATGTAAGTAGTTCCGTTGTGACTTCTAGATCGGTGAAAAGATCCATGTTGTTATTTAGTTTTATGCGACTGACTTACCGTCTTTGTTTGTTAAGGCACTTCCACTAAACAGATCCATTTCTTATCCAAATGATCCGAAATGCCATTCCCTCTCTCAAGCAACCATCTGTTTAGAAAAGCAGTGACGTGCTGTATCAAGTGTTTTTTTTCTCTCTCTCTCCACACAGTGGACGCATTTTGAGCAGACATCTGCCTTTGTACCCCGGGTAACACCGAACTCTAACGCCCTGGGTCAACACAGGTGCACCATGTTACAGAGGTATGTCTTTCATTAGCTGATTCCATCGCGGCTTGCCGATTGTCGCGTCCTGCCCTAGGTATTGCGTTCGTTAAGGATACAGTAGACTGGACCTACTCCCTGTAGAAGCCGAAATTGATGATAAAAGTGTCGACTGATCTATTACCGCCACTAAAGTGGCGAAAGGCCTGTCCAGCCAGCATGTCAGCACATTCACAGTCGTCGGCTTCATCTCTGCCTGGGTAATTGAATGGACTGAACTTGTACATGAATAGCAACCCTCAAATAAACCCAGTACTGTCCCACACAGCTTCGTCCCTTCGACTTTAACGAGAGGAAATATCATTTCGTCCGAAATAGCAGAAAGATTTAATTGATAATAAACTCACGATCGAATGCAAATTGTTTAAGAATGGAAACATCATCTTATTTTCACTTAAAATTGTACCAGAGCTTCTGAAAACAATATTGAAGTCGGATTTGAAGTTCTCAGGGCGGTGAGTACTGTGACGGCCACCTTGATACGGAAGACGGATTCAGAGTTTGTGTTGTTTATTATAACGTTGGAGCAAATTCTTTCTTCCCACTGACAGGTACGTCTATATGAGATTCGTCGTAGATCTTAGGATCTGTGACTTTGTTAGTCAGATTAAAACAAAATCAATATAACTTGAACAATAAATTTCAGTGTTGTTCCAGTGTGATTTACATAGGATTAACGCCATCCTAATACATGAGGGGCTTGTTTACCGAGGCGAACCGATCTCAAGACAGGGCAATCACGTGCAGAGTGGAGGCTTATGAGTTAGTTGGCAAACAAGTTAGGAAGCCGTGACACGCCTGACAACGGGTCTTGTGTATGACAAGAATTTGAAGTGCACGGGTAAATACGTCGATTTTATACGTTCTTTGTCCACAAGACAGGCCCCGTATTTGTCCATCTGATCGCATGTGTCATCTGACTATCTATTACGCTCATTTATATTCTGTTTGTTATGCTAGTCTACACTAGAAATTGCTGGACAGTTTTAATATTTGCCAATATTTAGTTAATTTTCACTACTTAACGATCTGTCTGCATTATATTGTTTAATATTGAATCTCCTGTCACATAAAATCAGCTATGTAAAATTTGAGGTTCTGACAGCGGTGAAGATTCTAATGTTTGTCTTCTGAGTTGTGACGTCGTGTGGAATTGTAGGTAGATTCCAACGTTTCGGAGAAATATACTGGCTCCATCTTCAGCTCTTGCGTAGGCCTCAGCTCTCAGGCTAATAATGCCTGGCTGGCTGTGTTATTTGGCTAACGAAGCATTTTATCTGATGTTTTCTGCTGTGTTCAAGTGTATGGAATAACACTGAACCACGAAACTATACAGAAGAGTTTTTTTTTTTCAAAGTGTTAGCCGGGCTAACACGGTTAATATGAACGCTTCGGCTTGCTTGACAAAAGGACATATATTCTTTTGGAGCGAAGGATATAAAAGACCTAAGAATAGTCACTATAGTCATCACAACAATTGTTGTTTTGTTTTATTCCTGGAACATGCATACTGCTTGTAGCTCGTTAGCGAGGTTATTAAGAAGTCTGCTTTATAACCTACCGCAAAAATTATATATGGTACTGGAACGTATGGCAGCGGAAGATTACGCCATAAGATATGAGTAAACGTAAATTAAATAAAGTCACATCTTTAGGTGACATTAGCTAAAATTTAATTGAAAAATACATTTAATATAAAGCTCATAATCCTTTATAGATACGAATGACATTTAAGCCACTCATTCAATAGTCTGTTTCCAGCGTCAGCTTTTGGCCCCTAAAATTAATAGAATTTCATTGCATTGTTTTCGTTTGCGCTAGACGCAGTCGCTTCGTCGAGTGTTGTGATTCCCCCCCACCGCCCCCCATCTATTTCCGGCACTCGATTTGAATCCATGGGGATCATCTCGGATCAGTAGAATTGCAGGAAGCGCGCTAAGAGCTTTGTCAACTTTTCACTGTTTGTCAAAATACAGTCCCCACTATCATCCATAATAGAGCATTAGCAAAACCTCCGTCTCACCAAGGCAACTGAGAAAACTTGACATGTCATGGGATTCTATTAATTTTAAAGCAGGGGTATGCAATTTTTGTACATGCAAAATATTTCATCAGGTCTGTGTGAATGAAAGTAGCTTACTTATTTAAACTTGCGAAGTAACACGCATCTAACTGTTAATATCCTTTGATATCTTAGTAAAGCATCTTATACTCAATGGCAAATGCCTGCTTTTTGCTAGGGGTGAAGACTACTCGATTATGTATGTGGCCATTTGCCTATGTAACTCTCTCACGGAGCAAATTTCTTCTTGCGAAGTTAATAGTACACACAGATAGTGAAGGAATTCACCACTTTTTATGGGATCCGAAAGCGCATCGCTAAGTTCAGAAAAAACTTGGCAATGTACCCTATATTAAGCCAGATTAATCAAACCCACACCCTCATATCCTTTTTCTTTAAGAGTCGAATTATTATTATTATAATCTCTCCATATACGTCCTTTTTACATAATTTCTTATTTAATGTCAGTGCGAATATACATTGTAAGGAAACACACTTATATTTATATCTTTCATTGTATGTTCAACTCAAATATAATGTTAATCATAAAATTGAGGATTGAACTTGTTTAAATACATTGATATTTTAAGAAAACCTTTCAAAATATAATACTTTTATTTTCTGGGGACTAAGGGGCATGGACGTTTTTGGATCAGAAGGAAGAATGAGACAAAAAAGAACAGATAAAACTGCCCTTAGAACATTTACCTAAGTTGGTGTCCCATTTTATACATATTTCGGTATTGCCAAATGCCGGGTGACTGTAATATTAGCGGCTTAGTATGTGTAGGATTATTGATGAGGGCAATATTTTAGAGTGGCTGTGCTTTCTGAATGGATTAGCTTGAATTTACGAAGTGCCACCTCAAGTATGTCGAGTACAGCACCCACATCCCACTTATACTGTGAATTATCTTACGTACAATACACATTGACATGTTGCGAGATTCAGAGCCTGAGAACCACTTGAAACCGCAACTGGTCTATAACCTCAACAGCTGTGTCTCGTTAGCACCACAGGCTACAGGCTATGGGGCTAACTGTGGCAACAATAGTAGGCCAAACGCAAAACACTTGAAATTGGGCATGAAATGGTGAAGGGAAGTAGCGCTCTTTCATGAGAGCTTAAGAGAAGTGGATGCAGAATTGAAAGAATTGTGGAAGGGCTGGCGATGGCTGTCCATGTCTATGCGTGACATTTTCGACCACACAACGAGGACACTGCAAGCAACGATCACGGTGGTCCTGGGGACTAGGTGTCGAAAACACGCATGTGTTTAATTCCGAACGTGAAGCTCGTGATATTTGGTCTCTTGAGTTATGTCGTAATGCCGATGTTGGTTTTCTGGGTTGAAACGCAGTTTGGAATCGCATGTACATAAAGCCTACTAACGTTTCAGAAGGACGCAGTATATTACTTCGAAATGTCAGTATTTACCAATGAGTCCAGAAAATTAACATCGATATCTTCACCGCCATAAGGACGCAAAATCTCATATAGCGTATTACATGGGTTTGTAGTAATATAAATATGATTTTTTTGTCAGTTTTGGTTTTGCATCATGTTCGTAGACGTAGGTTAGTCTAATTTTATTTATATTTGTTTATTGTTATGCGATCTATCAATGAATCAGTCGTGTTAAAATATGAAACTATTACAGTTACTCGAAATATAATAAAAACTAATCACGTTCGCATTGTATATAACTACCATATTTTTCAATATTGCCAACATTTCTTTTATGGTCAACTAAAATGACCTTTATTTTCCATCGTGACGCTACTACGTCATAGCAGTACGATTATGTGACCGTATGAAAATTAATGCAGGCGTATTAGAATTTAAGCTTGTGAATTCCTTATCTTAATCCGAAGACAAGAAACAATAATATTATAACAAAGGAAGCCTAATGTAACTTTATTGTGTATGCTTCGACGATTGGTTGTTTTTTGTTTTCCTCAGTAGACCACAATGACAATAAATACTTGCTTGCGGGGAATTTATTTTTCCCCACAAGCGAACATATTCATCTCTGATATTTCAGAGTAGAAAAATGAAACGCAAACAGTTCCCTGGGGCTCGTACATAAAAATGCACTCGGCTTGTGTATGCAGACAGAAAGACTCGAGGGGTATTCTGTAAAGGCGATGGATGAATCGATTCACCATTGTCGAGTGATCCATACACTTTTGAAACTGCCTTCTCGTAATCTTGTTCTTATTGTTGAGGAAATATAACAGACCTGATTGAAAAGTAGGGATTAAAAAAATATTGTCTTCAGACCAATTCTTAGAGAAAGGCTGAATAAGGTATCAACAAATGCCTCCTCTTCGTGTTAAAAGATACATAAAAAGGTCATGTATTTGGAATGGTACACTTTACGATTTCGCAGGAGTTTAATTTATAGGCTTTAATACTGAAATTGCATATACGCGATTTGTTTTCATCAACAGTCTGGAATTAATTAGGAGATTTACAGCAAATTTAATACACATTCGTAAAACAAATATGAACCTGGTAAAAATCAGCATCATATCCGACGTATCAAGAAAGTAAATAATGCAATTTATAATATTTTACCATGTCTTATATTATTGTACCATAGAAACGTTAGGCCTACGTGGGTACAAGATATTTTAGAGAAAACATTAAAGTATGGACAAAATCGGAACAATTATATTAGACGAACATAAAATTCCCATGCAGTTTCAAACAAACAAGTTAGAAAATATACAAATGACGTAAACGTTCTGCTGCTTTCGCCAGAGTTTAACTTTTAACATTTGACTAGCGTCTTAAAATATGCTTCGATCTCTTACAACCTCTTTTTTTATAGTTTATTATTCACAATCGGCGATATATGAATCAATAAACACGAACTGGAACGCCATGACGGAAAACTACGTAATCGTACGA